AGACGAATGGCCGTCGCTGCCCCTTCCACTCCCGCAAGAGCCGATACCAGAGACGGCAGAGCCAAGGACGGTAGTCCTCTTGGCGCGAAAAAACACTCCTTCTGTGAGTTCACCTTCTGATCTTCCGGTTTTCGAGCGTTTCTCTTCATGGCGCAAGCTCATCCGCGTGATCGCTCTAGTCCTTCGTTTCATACACAACCTCAAGCATCCTCAGGCCAAACGCACGGGTCCTTACCAGCCTGATGAGATCGACCATGCCGAGAAGACCGTTGTCAGCAAAATTCAAAGGGATGCCTTCGCCAAAGACATCGCCGATATCAGAAAGAACTCCACCTGCTCACAACGCATTCGGCATCTAACCCCCTTTCTAGACAGCGCTGGGCTCCTAAGAGCGGGGGGACGCATTTCACAGTCTGATCTCGAAGAAAATCGGAAGCATCCAATGATCCCACCCGGTGACCATCATCTAGTAAAGAAACTCATCCACACCACCCATTTGGATACCCTGCATGCTGGACAACAGCTGTTACAATCTGTTCTAGCGCAAAAATTCTGGATCCTTGCCGGTCGCTCGGCGATCCGCCAGGTCACACGCGCTTGTGTAAAGTGCTTCCGTGCCAAACCTCGCAACGAGGTCCCCATGATGGGTGATCTTCCCCCAGCTCGGGTTCGACCAGCGCGACCCTTCTCGCAAACAGGAATGGATTACGCCGGACACTTTGAGGTTAAGGTTCACACCCTCCGCTCCGCTCGCAGCGTCAAGGCCTATCTTTGCATTTTCGTTTGCATGGCCACAAAGGCGGTACATATAGAGGTCGCCGAGGATCTCACCACCGATGCCTTTCTTGCGGCTCTCACCTGCTTTTCGTCTCGCCGGGGACGGCCGTCTGCTCTTTATTGCGATTGTGGAACCAACTTTGTGGGCGCCAGCAACGAACTAAAACGCACGCTTTCAAGCATCCACCAGGAACTACTGCAGGAACATGGTCCTCTTGCGGCCGAGAGATTCCAGGGAATACGCTTTCACTTCATCAGTCCTGCCGCGCCTCATTTTGGAGGGCTCTGGGAGGCGGCTGTCAAATCCGTCAAAGGCCATCTTCGTCGAACCATACAAGGACAAACACTCACCCTGGGTGAGTTTAGAACACTCACGGTTAGAATTGAAGCCATGCTTAATTCAAGACCAATCACACCCGCCTCCAACGACCCAAACGACCTCGCACCTCTAACCCCGGCCCATTTTCTGATCGGTGGGGCAATACAGCAACCTGAGGAGCCCGAGCGCACAATAACTACCTATGGCAAGCGCTGGCACAGAGTGCAAGCCATGGCTCAGGCCATCTGGCGTCGTTGGAGCCATGAATACCTCCAAACCCTTCTCTCTAAGGGTAAATGGGCCCAGGACAGGCGCAATCTTGAAGTTGGAGACCTAGTACTCATACATGAGCCCAACTGCCCCCCTCTCGACTGGCGCTTAGGTCGTGTATCTCAAGTCTTTCCGGGCCGCGACAATCGAGTTCGCGTCGCGATCGTGCAAACCGCGACCGGCGTCTTGCGGCGACCAGCGGTCAAGTTGTTCCCGCTCCCCTGCTAGTCTCCACGGCTTGTTCAGCTCTCTTAACTCTAGTCTTTCTCTCTGTTAAACTACTCACACAATTGTAAATCCTATCGTCTCCTTTTTTCAGGCTCTTAATCATGGCTGACACACTCCGCATCACCCTAGAATCGGACTTAGAGCTATCCAGCTCATCTTCTGACGAGGCCGCGCCATGTATGCGTAAACCCACAAGACCCCTCAAACCTGGGAAGTTCGATCCCAGGGCCGAAGCCACGGCACCCAAGTCAGTAGCCAAGCCCTTGCGAGAGGTCGCACCCCAGAAATCATCCAACCCACCGAAACGCCAGAGGCTCTCGGACCCTCGGCCTCGCCGGAGAAACCTGCCCACCATTCTGGAGGTTCCACTCCCGCCCTTCGCCAG